AATAACTGAAATAATCTCTGTATATAACACGTTCAGCGAACAAAACGTTTTTGTACAATTTAAAAGCCATCAGCGGCACATAATTGCATTGAGACAGTTCAATATTCCGCTCCCTAATATAATCAACTGTGATAATTCGTCTTTTCGCTAATATAAATAGCATCCCATATATTACTCCATACGTTGCGTAATTATTACCCCTATTATTTATTATTCATTTTAATGGAGTAGCTAGCATTAATTTTTATCAAGGTTTCTGGACGTTTACATACTTACATTATCTCAGGGTATTTTCATTTTTCATCGCGTGGGCTAGAAAACACCGCTCATACGAATATTCGGATGGTGATAATTAAAATTTGTTAGTAAACATCCTGTTATTTATTCCTTTGCCGAATCCTAATCAAAATCCAACACCTTGTAATTTGTTATGAAACTAACAACGATATGAAGTGTCGGCTGCGGAATTAATCTTTATTTCAATATTCATTTTGTTTTATCAATATCTTTGACAATATCTTCTTTTTTTTAATGTTACCTGATTTTGATGGAATATCTATTTGGAAAAATGATCATTCTTTTTGTAACTTAATTTTATACTATATAATTAAGCATGCCTTGGCCTTGCTTCATTGCTTATAAAGTCTTTCCGCAACTTATCGTCTAATATTTTCTTTTCGAAGATATTTCAGTAATCTTGGCGTTGTGACGAGATCAGCGACCATTTCCTTACGGGAGCTCTTCATGTTACCACACTGAATTTACTTCATTCGTTAAAATTCGTGATCAATTTTTTTTCACGAATATTATTCTTTACTCGCTAATCAGTTTTAGCTTACTTATTCCCCAATTCTCCAATAATGGTGGACCACATGTCCATTTTCTCTCACAAACTAAAAAATATGCTTTTACCGAACACCCTGACGGCCATACATACTCACGCTACCAAATCCAATATCTTTCCTCCTTTTCACCTACGATCTATATTAAAAAGTTCACTTGTTTGATAGTTATTCTTTGAATCGATGTGCTCTTGTCGCCTCTACAACCATACATCTAGGCCCCTCTCGTCGTATTCGTCATGTCCCATGTTAACAATGACTCATGTTTTTAATATGCTTTGTTTTCAATTTTTTTCTAAATTGTCCAAAGTTTATTTAAACAATATAATAGTTTCATTTTCTGATGCCTTCAATCCCCGATGACTCATTTCAATTTGTATCTTTACGTAATTCCTCATATTTCACGTGTTATATGGCATTAATGGCTTTGCTTTTCAAGTACTAATATCCCGTACGGTATTTTACAGTCTCTCAATATCAAATGCTAAAAAACAGAACTTTTGGTCTATTCATTTATGGCGAGTTCTTTCAGGAGCTGACAAAAGTGTGCGAGCTTTTAAGTACCAACGCAATTTTCACTTTTAAAATGTCGACAAAGAGAGAGCAGAATATTTGCAGAGGTGCAACTATTAAAGTAATTAAAACAACAGAGTGACATAGTAAGAGAAATGGCTTTCTAAAGAACAATGTTTGAAACGAATGGGCGTCTCTAAAGAGGAATACATATTTTTGCGAGTGCCCATTCCAGCCTCACGCGCCGTTACTAAACCCACGAGGTCCTCTTTTCACTTTCATCAAGGAAACTTCTGGCCTGTACGCGAGTGGAGGGGCAGGGAAGGGGCGAGGGAGGCAAGGGATGGGTGGAGGGGCACCGGGGGGGGCGGAGGGCGGTGGGGGACGCAGGGGGGGCGCATGGTGTCGGAAGGGAAAGAGAGGCGGTGCGGCTGGAACGAGGGGGTGGGGCACGCGTCCTAGCGATAAATTTGCCGCCGGATCGCAATTTCCACGGCGCGGCCGTTTAGGGCCCACTTCGTCGAATCGGGCTGATGCTCGTCGCGGCGCGGCGGCGTGGCCGCACGCGGAGATATTGCGGCCCCTCATGCATATGCAGCAACGCGGGCAGGGGCGGGGGCGAGGTGGGGATGGGAGGGGAGCGGCACGGTGAAGGGCAGTGGCGCGAGGGACTGCAAATTCTGTTGAACGCAGCAGATCGCCAAAGCTTGCGAACATTCACTTATAAAACGTCCAAGCAATTCGAACAAAATACCATACGTCGACTCATGAACCATCTACATTCAAATAATTTGGGAATCAACGCTTGAAACAGTGTAGATATAACAATAACATGGTGTTCAATTTGTTTATGAGCCAACCGGGATCCCATTAAGGGCCTCCTGCATTTTGCAGGGAGTTCTAAATGAAGTGATAGGGTGATGATGTGGGGTGAAAGGAGGAACACAAATACAACCATGCCCAAGGAGGGACTCGAGCCCACGATCGTTCGGCCCGGAATCGCCACGGCACTAATGCCTTAGCGATCTAGGCCATCCAGGTCGAGTTCAAAATAGTACTTTCCTCTTAAATAAACAGACGTTTATATGATAAAACATAAATATTCCTGCATTATAACTGACATTTTACCGTACAAGAAATTGCGCATAAAATGACATCACAAATTATCACATTTTCCGTTCTTAGCACGAATAATTGCGTCATCACACATTCAGTCAATAGCAGCAAGATAATTATGGGGTGGTAGCGATAAACCGAATAGTCGACCACCAATTCTTCGCAATGACGTCCAATACCGTGACGCCACAATAAAGTTGTTTCCAAAAATTAACCTTGATTCCCTTATATATTCATTATGCTGTTATACAAAACATGTGTATGCAACTCGTTTATAATGTTGCTTTATTGAATTCGTACACAGCTGAAAACTCGCTCGAAACGTCTCTCGCTTTCAAAACATGTTCCCGTGTAATAAAGCTTAACATTGTAAACTATTTACATAATATACTATTGTGGCACTTAATGCTTTCTGAAATGAAAACATTGTATATTTAATGAAACATTGCTTTGCGGCACCACTTTTCCTGACCGAAGGCATAACCCTCTCTGGTACAATAAACATTGAAGGTAAAAGCTCACAGCGAGCACTGATAACATTTCAAACCCATAATTATTGGCGCAATACGCCAATTTCGCTTTACCGTTTCCGAGGTTTCTCCAACACTAGGTGTAGTGTATCGAAACATATTCAAATTGTACGCGGTTTTTATGTTTATATATTTTCAACTGTTTTCGCAGCATAGCAACGAATTCCAGATTCTTAGTTTGGTTTTGTGCGCGACACATCGTGCTGAAATAAACTACTACGAAAATTTGTTTCATCTATCTTATTTATTGATCTCGAACGCAATAATACGAAACCAGGCGAATGCCGAAGCAATACTACCCCAACAAACAGGCCACGGGCCGCGCGTGATCTTCCCTTCCTCTTCCTTGTCCTATCCTCACCCCGAACTTACACACACACACTTATCGGTACTACACTATCCCACATTGGAGACATGTGGGGAGTTTAGAGCTTGTCATGGCTGAGTAGGTGCCCCCCTCAAGGTGGGAGATACGTGGTTGGGGAAAACTGGCTAGCAACGATGACGTTGACCAGGCGGTCGTCCGCACAACGAAAGGGCGAGAAACCCTTTTAAAAGAACATTCAATAAGGCAAAGAGACCGCGAAGAAAGATCTAAGGTTAAATATCATTTATTAAATTAAAAATTGAGCATGGCGCGAGGAAACGGACCCGCTTACTATTGTGTAATTAAATTGAACTTCTTCAATTTTGCTCAAAATATATTTTTCTTGATTTTTAAATTTAAGTCAATATTTGAAAATAATGTATCTGTTTAATTTTGATTTTGTTTACCTGTCGCTTCCCTCACCTATTGGAAAATAGGGGGCTACTTAAAATTAAAACTAATGCCCTTACCCCATGTTAGAGCTATCCGAGGGTTGGTACTAATACAATATTTTGGAAAAATATAAGTACATATTAATGTTCGTATTTTGCTTTTCTATTTCAATAAATTGCGTTCCCTAGTTATTATTTGGGCAATTCCCACTCTTTTTGTTTATTTATACGTTGGTAAGCGTATAAATTTATTTTAGACGTCTTTAAGCCTCTTAATGTATTTTTGTTTTCATCTTTTCCTCAGAAGTTTAAATTCTTTGAAGCTTAGAATTTAGCTATTATTCCTCGTCTCTATTAAGTGTTGTGGGGCCTACCATTTTATTGCCAAGTTTTTCATCACGTAAGGCCGGCTTATGGCAGTTTTGCTTTCCAGTGGGCCCATGTTCCCTGGCCAAATTACGTGCATTGCCCAGAGCGAGCACACACTGGCTGAGGCTGTCAACCGCGCTGTCTCTGGTCTGCAGTTTCCTTAACATTTTCCGCCCTAGAAGAACTGTCGTCTCTGTACCTGAAGAGATCCTTCCACGCTTTGTTTTAGATCAGTGGTCCTTCTCTTCGCTGATTTTTCTCGTTATGGCGCCCTGGAAACGTGATCTCGCCCTTCTATCAGCTACTCTGCGCTTTCTCAACAGAGTGAGTATTCAGGGAGGTGTCAACGAGGGGAAAAGAGGAATATGCACGCCATACCCAGCGTTTGACCGCTCTTTTCAAATGCCTTCAAAGCAAACGGTGTATTAGGGTTACAGGTTGTAATCTCTTTTAATAGCATAAATCTTCGGACACCTACCTATCAATCTAAGCTCTTGTGAAATTTTGACACAGGAAAAACTCAGGTCTATGACCGATCTAGAGAACGCACTAAAAACTTAATTAGAAATAAAATGATTATTTTCATTGTTTAATATTGATTTATTTATATCAATAATGAATATTTTAACAATATGGATAATTTACTTCTAGAACACTATTCAACGTTTAGGTCTACATGAAACTAAACATCAGATATAAATTGGAAAAGTATATCATAAAAGTATATCATAAAATACTGAGGTAAGATAAGTATTAAGAAATTCGATAACATGAACGTGTTTGCACTATTTTAACAATATGGCGTATGGGTGGCAAGGATCATGAATACTGTGCCTGAGGCACTCTACAAGTCTGTTTCTGGTTCTGGTTCTCACTCTGGTTCTGGTTCTGGTTCTGGTTCAGGTTCAGATTCAGATTCTGATTCTGTCTTTGGGACTCGGTCTGGTACTGGGTGCGGGATTTTACGTTTAAATCCCCTGAGCCTTAAACGCTCATTTCCTGTATAGGAAATTATATCTGTAAGAGAGAAACACGGGATGGAGTAAATTGGGAAAATAGTGTTGTGCTTTACATGCGTATATTGACAAATTACTGCTTCATTAAACAACTCAAGAATAATTTACGCACTGCTCGCACAAACAAGCGCAAAAAACTACGTGCATTTATTCGTAATGATAATATTAAATGTATTTTACTATCGGAGAATTTGATTCACTTAATTTTTGTGTCAACATGCAAATGTACTCATGAACACCTATCGACACAAATTAGAAGCATCTGCAACTAATAGTGTTGGAGGATTATGCAACTACTGTACGGTTACAACAGCATATCGTTGATACACAAAAAAGTGACATAAAAAATGTCATTTTTCAGGAGTGAACAAGTGTTGATAGTGAACGAGTGCTGAGAGTGAACGAGTGTTGAGGGTGAACGAGTATTGAGAGAGTTGTCTAGCTAAATGAGCAAGAAGTAGGGAAAGGATCACAATGCAGGGTCTAAACCTGACACAACGTCGTGACTTGTGACGAAATCTGTCTAGGACCAGTATTCTTTAGGTGTAAGCTACTGAACCACAGACAATTATGCCACAATTACTTCCGAAGTGCTGCTCCACACCATTCTCAATTTACTCTCTTGGCATAGCCAACTCGCTCGTGAAACAGATAGAAACGATTTATATTGCTTAAGATGGTTCTCTCAACCGTTTATTGTAACGTAATCATTTTTAAATATAGCTTTCGCATTGTAGATAAACCCAAGCATAGAAATACGTACAGTGATTAGCAAGCATCTGTTAGGAATTCTATAAAAAGCAATGATTCATTTGTTTACAGGTTGACACTGGACAATACAATGAAGAAAACAAACATATCATTAAAGTACATAATGAACAATAACGTTTCCCACAGCTACTTATAACTAACTAATTGAATTTTCAATATATATATATATATATATATATATATATATATATATTAAATGATTTTGAAATTACGTGATTGGGAGAAATATTCATTTCATTTATTTGATGGAAAGAGGATTGATCTATTATGACAGAAACTAACTCAAATAAAATTCTGCGAAAATATTATAAGATAATGTTTCAATAGTAAAATATTTTCTTGATAATCAAGAACGAATAAAATTATTTATCAATCAAGGGTACTTACTGAGACAACAGCAGTTTAGGCAGTTGGTGAGGCACTTAGAAAAGGGGTTGCGTCCACACTTCTGCTCATTCCAGTCGTTCCTTGCATCGTTGCGTCCGTCTCTGTCGGAAAAACGGAAAACTTCAACTGACGAAATGCAAGAATTGGACAACCAGTGGTGAGAGATTTTAGTATAGGCGTTGAGTCAAGAAATACTCCATTCCAAATGCAGTTTAAGAATCGTTTGGAGTTTAGCAATGCACAAGACTGAATAGTCTCATTTCCTAGATAAATTGAGGCGCTCAGGATAATAACGGAAGATCCCAACCGGCTTCGCATTTTCACGACGTTAAACTCTTGCCACATATCTATCACATTCTGAAATATCAAATTGGGTTATGACGAAACCATGAAATTCCACCTTCAAACATTTGCCAGTACTCAAAATAAAACCACTTTTTTTTTGGTCGAAACGAATTTCGGTTGGGATCAGGCGCTTTTGTTCTCCCTTGCAGAATGCGAATGCTTCGGAGTGACCTGACGGCGAGGTAGTGCACGACCGGCAGCACGCCGGCGAGGAGGGCCAGCGTGAGGGCGAGGAAGATCACCCACGCCTGGTCCTCCCAGGTCGAGACCTCCGCGTCCCGCCTCCTCTGCCGTTCTCCGCGCCCGCTCGTCCCGCTGCCGTTCTCCGCGCCCGCGCCCGCGCCCGCGCCCGCACCCGCACCCTGCGCAGCGGGCAACCGAGACTCTCTCAACGCCTTACGCTCACACTAGATCGATTTTCAGTGAATGGTTAGTGATCCTGAGAGCGTTAGGATAATTTCTCCAGTAAATGCAGTGGACGTTTGCATTGCAGGAGGTGGGAGAGAACTTCTCCCGCCGGCTGGCCAGCTCCGGCGCTCACCATGGTCGGCTTGCGGGAAAGTTGCTCAACCAGGTACCGGCGGCCTGTTGGGCACCGCCCCAGCACAAGTGTGACAATGCATTGCATGTTAGTGTGTGTGTGTGTGTGTGTGTGTGCGTGTAAAGAGTGAGGATAGGACACGAAACAAGTGTGCGTGTAAAGAGGAAGGAAAGGTCGCGGGAACAGTCCGAGGTGATTTCATAGAGTACTGTACCGGCATTTGCTAGATTTTGATAGGAGAAGACAAGGAAAACTACCGACCAAAGCAGCCGACGACCAAAATTTTGCAGGCAGCGGCTGAATACGACCTACTTGTCTAGCTAGTGTCGAAAATTCTGTAATCGTGGGGACTCGAATCCTATGACCTCCCGATCAGATACACTGCAACCACATCAGTTAATGCCTTGAGCCACCTTTGCCAGTTACTAGCCCAAGAATCCCAGCGTTGACCGGATATTCATTCATCATAATCATCTAAAACGCAGGAAACCTCTTGCTAGTTTGTGACGGATAATTTAATTTTGGGAAGTACTTTACACAGAGACTCATTTATATTTATTTATTAAGTATTTTCTTATTTAATAAGTATTAAATATTTTATTTATTACAACTATTTTTGAAAATTTCTCAAACATGTGTTCAAAATTTTTTATTAAACTTGTGGGATCGGAGAGCGTGAAAGATGCTTAAGAGAATGATCTAAGTTTCATGTTGGTTGGAATCCTTGATTTCTCGAAAATTGCAAAAATGCAATTTTTTTTGTGGCATTCTACAACTACAATATTGAAGATAGAGATCTTTTAGTTGATGAAATAAGTTCATTAAAGACAGATCTTGAAATAAGGGTAAGTACAAGTTTAAAAAATTTGAGTAGTTTTCGTTTAACGTTGCGTGAAATATAAGCAATTTTTAAACACCTTTTCGCAAAAACGCCTCCAATTTTTTTCATTAAAATTTTCCTCTGTATGTATAAAAAACTAAAAAAACTTGCGATAGTGCCAATTCTAGCATAGTTTCTGTATTTTCGAAAATTGAAAAAAGGTAACATTGCAAAACTACAACTTTGAAGATAAAGATATTTGTCTTCAACAAAACGTAAAAAAATCATCTCTTTGAAAACGCCTTGTACAATGAGCCCGGTTCATACGATTATACCCAGGTAAATGCTGGAGTAGAAACCCTAACAAACACGCCAAGTAAAGCGCACGATCCTTTCTTCTCCTTCCTTGTCCTATCCTCCCTCCTTACTTACTTACTTACAGACGCTTACACTTACACACACTACACTATCACGCGTGTCGAGCAGTCCGGGGTTCAGGGTTTGTCACGGCTGAAGTGGTGCCCAGCTGAAGATATTGTGACGTCATGGATACTCACAGCGACCACAAGACATACCATATATAGAATAAATATTAATTAACTCCATAAAGTAGCGCAGAATATACAAATAATCACAAAATACATACCACTTAATAATCTACTTACACCCTAGCTCTGATAGAACCTTACTATCCCCTGATCGCGGACCGCGCGATCCCAACCGATTGAAGATGGTTATATGATTGTGGCAGTTTCGTCCACTTCCTACTCTTGAAAAGGCGCGCACAGAAGCCTAGCTTTACCGTGACCGGATGTCACGCAATTGTAGGACACAAAGTCCGTTTTGGCGTCCAGACCACGGCTGGTTTGCCTCGCATCGACAGTGGAGCGTATCTTTATCCAGACTTGACGAATCGCTCTGGTGATTGTTTGCAACTCAACCATCGTGCTTACTCACATCTCAGAGACACGCACGACAGAGTCATCGCTCACGCCCGTGATTCGCAGTCACCCAAGGACTAAAGTCCGCAGCTTCGTCTAACTAAGTGACTACGAGTAGACTTCGACTGCGCCGGAGCTATTGCACCGTCGAGCAGTAGTGCGCCAAGTTTTGTGCACACACACGACCGTACTCCCACGAGTGCTCCACTAGACCGACCCACTGGCTCCGTACACTCTGTTATATAGCGAGAGCCCACGTGACCTACTACTCCACGCCACCCCCTCGCCTTGGTTACAAAAGTCGAAAACTCTTCTATACAGCGCGGAAAGCGCCCAACAAGCCTTGTGTTTCTCCCAGTTTCGGCGTTCTTTTCACCTCCACCGTAAAAAACGCACTTCTGTTCACCTTGTGGCTTGGCTAATCCTCTTCCAAGCGTCCCCAAATAGATGCCATGAGGCACGCTGGCTGGGGAAAACCCTGCTAGCCGACATGTAGGCCGGTTTCGTACCTCGGTGTAAACCGGGGGAAGATCACCGCCACCTCCCGCGACAAACAACATACACTACACTTACGGTGAAATGACCTTATACCAACGTACGCGCTCGCAAACCTAGTCAATTAATTTATGTAATCCCTGCAAACATTTGTAAAGTTATCCTTGTTTGTCGGTAGAATGTGCTGCAAACTCAGAGTTCGAAGAAAAATTACGGAATAAATAGTATTATGTAACCATTACGAGAAAGTATGTGCTGTTTTAGCACTACTAGTTTCTAGAGGTATAAATAATCTGGCTGTTGAAAAAATTAAGATTGGCACTGTATGCGAGGCGTTTGAATTTATTTGGATGGTGGACAAATGATGGCCGAAGTATTATTAGGGTAAGAATTACAATATTATTATACGGATTATTCGTATATCCTAACTACTCCCAATAATGCAAGAAAGTATGTGCTGTTTTGGAATGTGCAGTTTTATGCTCATTGACTGTTCAAACCATTTCCGTAAAGCATTTTTCAGATGTCGAGTTGTTTGTTATTTTCTGCGACTTACACGACACCATGCACATCTTTGTGGTGTCAGCAGCTGAAAACAACACTAGAAGCTACCACTACTCAGTACCTTGCAGATTACCTGTACCCCCAGAACGCTCAGTGAATTCGTTTCGACTCCAAGCATTCAACAATACCTTTTTAGAAACGATACTGCAAAAATACAATTTATACTGTATTTTTTCAGGTCACCAGAACACACTTAAGGAAGGTTTCTTTTTATAACAGAGTTAGCATAATGCAACAACTTTAATAGATTTAAACATTTCTTGACATTATCCTGCGGGATACAAGTGAAAGGAACATTATCACCGAAATACGCAAATGAAATGAAAAAAAAAATTAATTGAAAAATAAACTTTTTTGTTTGAATAATAATCTTGTAATACAATAGAACAAATTATAAATATTTTGTTTTTAATAACACTATTTTCAAGATCAAAACAAAATGCCTTTCCATTGCACTCACCTCCCATGTACAACTATATTCCTGTCTTGCAATTATTACATACTTTTATTTTATACCGGACGTCCTACCAACTCTGGACCACCCACATAACTTCTAAATAGTTCATTGCATTGAAATACAGTAAAAAGAAAAGATGGTTATATTTCCCGCAAACTAAAAATATTACAAACAATATCAGGCTGGCTTGGGACTAAAGTTGAATATGAAAAATTTCAGCTAAAATCCAGGTTATGTTAAATTTAATATGAAGAGGATAGCATCTCTACATTCTAAAGCGGTCTACGTATCATTTGTTGCTGTAGGTGCCGGTAAATGTTAATAATAAAAATACTACTTTAGTATTGGTAAAGGTTTCAATTTTAGTCAATTCTTAAGTGGTCTAAGTCACATTGTGATTCGTACCATAGATCACTTTAGTTCCAGGCTCTTTTCTCGCCCTACCATTTCGATTGTTGAGCGAAGCTCGAATTTAGTTATCGTTAACCGAATAGAAGTTATAGGGATGACCCATAGCCGGTGAGACATCCGGCATATTTCTTGAACACATTTATAATTCAAGTAGATGAGATCTTCAAGTGTTACATGACGGAATTCTGAATGAACGTTAATCCGTTTTGCAAATGGCATCCTCAGTTTTAGTTATTAGTTGTTGGTTTTGATATTAGTGACTTTACTCGTCTTGTACAAATAAACACCACAGTAGTGTACAAATAAACATACAAAACAGTAGTGTTTACCATAGTTTAGTTAATATACCTTAGTTTTGAAGTATATTTTATAAAACACTTCCTTTGTTTGATCTACATTTACTTCGAATTCTTATCTGTTATTCACGGCTACATATTCCAGACATTTTTGTCATCGTATTCAATAATACTTCCCTAATATTTTCACGTCTTTAAACATTCTCACGAACATTTTTAGTGATTGTCCACCACACGCGTCTATTACTGTGGCAGCCGTCCGCTTTTCAAGCCATGAACAGTGTAAATACGTCGTCTTCCAAAGGGAAATTAAATGTTTATCAATCTCTCACCTCTGACTAATAATGTTACTGACGTCCGTAAATGAAACATTTTCATACGATCTTAAGCAAAATGTTTTTTACGATGAAATTAGTTGATTGATTTATTGTCAAATCTCAAATATCTCGACAATTCTAACATTTTGAGAAAAAGAGGCTTTACAAAAAAGTTTAATAATTCGAAGATTTTTTTTTGAAATATGTGTATTTATTGGAACAACTACAAACGTTTGCCAAGAATGAATTAAATGCAGTAATTGAGTACTAATTCTCTTTAAATAAACTACTACCTTAAGAGAGTTGCTAGGCTTGGACGCTAAAATGCAAACGTTACAAAGCAAGTTTTAGAACATACCTCGGTGGGATCTGCAGGAACCTCCAAAGTGTACAGGGGATGCTTAAAGCCAATGCTGTATATTCTTTCCGTCGGCTCGGTCGGTATGCGGAATGTCTCCACCTGTTTGCAAAAGATACTTAATACATTCCTCTTCATACAATACTTCAAACAATACCACAAACCAAAGCTATTCGTAAATGTACAAGTTATTCTATAGTTATTAAGGTCATCAAACCGATAAACAACAAATAACTGAGACTGTTATTTGCGTTATCAATCTTGTGTTGTTCAAATATGTTAATTACAGAACCTTATTAAAAGTAAAAAACCGCCCAGTACACTCGTACGCATGGCTATTTTAGTTTGAATGTGCCTAAGAGGACAATTCTTAACGGTCGCCAGGTATTCAGTGCAGCATTCCCTTGCGTAATAACAGAAGAATTTTACGAACAAATATTTTCTAAACTGTAGTGGAGGTGACTTAAATAAATCGCCTCTACCAGCATTGGTCATACCCAGGAGAAATCACGTCCAGCCTTGGGCTGATAGAGGGTGCATCTGAAGGCGATATCCATGGTAGGTTCCATTCGTTTCTGACATCATTGACTACTGTTTTTGAAAGAAAAGAAAAAAACCTACACAATCATCCTTTACTCCCTCCCACTTTTCACATCTGTATATTAACATTTCTTGGTCTTTGAAAAATCCTGCAATGGTTTATTCACAAAAGGATCAAAAAGTGCTTCTTCCACTTCACACTCGACTGAAAGTTTTTTTCAGTTTTGATAAGTAGCGGACGTCGCCAGGTGCCCAATAGGGACTGTGGTGGGAATGGTTCAACTTCATGCAATATTCTGTCACAACAGGGAATCTGAGTACTAAACACGGGTGCGTTGATGTGAAGAAGCAAAACACCACGAGATTTCACGCACAGCATCCATCTCAAGTACCTGTCTCCACAAAACTGAGTGACATGTCGGCTACGAACGTCTAGCGTTACAACAATTAAAGATAATACTATAAACAGATCACATGTTTTTATCATTGATGACCGATATCTTGGTCACGCCAGAAACTAATGGAACCACATATGTAGTGAGGCGCTGCAAACGGAGTGAATAGCGGTCGACGTTGGCAGCCCTCCACGTTATATTGATGGCCAAGTGCACAGTCACTCCGCGAGGCGATAAATATGAAGACGTGGCGAACTTACTGAGTTATTGCCAGATCGTCTGAGCCTAGTAAATTATTGTATTAATATTTTGATATTGTTGACGCTGCTGCATTGTTTTTATTATTCTCGATTCCGTAAAGTCTGTCTTGCCGCTTGCATGTTCATCTCCCTCTCTGGTATAGCCGAACATAACAAAAACATAGCCGAACATAACAATGCCCATTATTACAGCAAGCGACATCCACTGTGTTTATGAAGAGAAAGTGTAAATCGACATCTCGCCAATAAATTCTCATTGCTTTAACACTTTATTTGTCAAGATAGGTTGAGTGTAAGAGCCGCAAAATCAGAAAACAAAAATAATACGTGATATTACACATGTTCTTTAAACAGCACGACCTTGGACAATCCTCACCTGTATATACTTCATCGTTTCGTTCGTGATACGACTGTTGTTGTTCGTCCACCAGACCAGGTCCGAGAAGACAGCACAAAAAACGTGAGTGGTTTCCCAGTAGAGGCACGGATGCACCGGCATCAGCTTGGGGAACGCGCAACCATACACCACGTTCTCGAACTCGCCCACCACCTGCCACTGCTTCGAGCGCTCCAAGTCCAGCAGCGACACTCTGTAGCCCAGCAGGCTGGGACTCGGCTCTTTGGGGGCGGTGATGTACACCGTCACGAAGCCTAGGCCTACCTTCGTCTCTACCTTCGTCACTAGTGTATTACCCTTCATAAGACCATGCCCACCTCCTCTGACTAAAAATTGTCCTTTTCAAATCACTTTACAAGATCACCTTCATGGTGCAAGTTGGAATTTAACGCCCTGACCATCTGATATTCTGCTTATTACAAGTAGAACACTTAAAAGAAATTCTCATAGGTGCAAAAGCTAACTCCAATAGACCGAGATAGCTCTGTCCGAGAAATCTACAGCACAATCAAGAGTGGAGCCGTCGAGTCATCCGAAACTACAAAACACACAACAAACCGATACTAGGACAACTTACGAAAAAATTTAAACATTTAGTAATGAATTCTGTATAGAGTGACAACTTTCTAAAAGATAAGTTCATTGAAATGCAAGCAAACTCCAATACAGACGATATAGATTACGAGATAACAGCACAATGAAAGTGGAGCTCGAGCACCAGGTAAAAACCTCCCACCCCTCACGTGCAAATATATTCAAAATATTAATTTTAAGCCCTGACATCTGATATCTGTATACACAAGTAGAACACCTATTAAAGAAAATTCATAAGTGCCAATACAAACTACAACTCAGACGAATAGTATTCCGAGAGTATACAGCACAATGAAAACGTGGACGCCTGCGAATAACTAACATAGTACAACACCCCACCTTCACCTGCCAAATTTCAAAAATATTACCAATTAAGCCCTGCGTCTGAATAATATGTATAACAAGTGATAGAACACTTTAAAACGAAAAATCATAATGTGCAAAGCAAATCTCCAATAACAGGGAACTGAATAGTTTCAAGATACACACAATCAAAGTGGAGCCTCGAGTCTCAGCTACAACAAACCCCCCCCCCCGTCCCCCACGTGACAATTTCGAAAAATATCTAAATTTAAGCCCTAGACATCTAGTCTGATATCTCAACTGTAATACAAGTCGATAAACACTTTAAAAGAATTCAAGGCCTGCAAAGCAAACATCAATCAGACGAATAGTTATTCAGAATACAGCACAAATCGTAAGTCGAGCCTCGAGTCATCAAGGTTAAAAGACCAACCCACCCCTTACGTGCCAAATTTCGAAAAATATTAATTAAGCCCTGACATCTGATATTCTGTATACAACGCTAGAACACTTTAAAGACACTTTATAGGTGCAAAGCAAACTCCAATCAGACGAATAGTTCCGCAGATACAGCACGCAACCAAAGGTGAGAGCCTGGAGTCAAAGGTACAAAAGCAACCCCCTCCCTTACGTGCCAAATTTCGAAATATAATTATTAAATTTTCGGCCTGACATCTGATATTACAGACTATACAAGTAAGAACACTATATAGAAATTCAAAGGTCCCAAGGAAAACTCGCAATCAGACGAATAGTTCCGAGATCACAGCTAATCAAAGTGGAGCTCGCTGTCAATCAGTCACATTACAAATGCATTTCGAACTAATTCAAAAGACAAATGCATTTTGTAAATGTACGTAGTTGGCTACATTTTAATGCGTTTTGAAAAAAGACGTTAATTGTGGTTCATTCTTTCCTGCCAGCGTGGCGAAAAATTTGCTGTATGGAACAGTTTAAAATTGACGTTGGGTTTCGTCACACAGATGTAAGGCATTATTTTAGATTGTTTTGAGTATTCGGTAACTTGTACTTTTTGCCAAAAATTTTGTTAGCGGAGCTTACGGAACATCTTCTATAGCGTAGCAAAACTTTTCCGTGGTCAGACTGCAGATCAGCCTCCGGCCTGAGTCTCGCCCAATCAAAATAAGGCATCATCTCAGTTCAAATTCACTAGTGCGATGTAAATCGTTCTTGAATCAACGTACACAAGAGAACTCTTAACACCCTCGAAAAACACGGTTCCTGAAATGTGCTGAGTAGATATGTGGTATTGGACTCTAGTCGTCAATTTTTTTCGGAGGGGTTCTTTGTCCAGGAAGTGAAAACAAATGTTTTGTAAGAGAACATGCAGGCACCATCATTGGGTGATAAAAGAGCCATTGAGCATTACTATCAGATTTCATAAGATGTTTGTGTTTCGATTGTATATTATGGCCTTTGTAGAATGTATGTTTGTGTATATATATAGTATATATCTATATATATATATATATATATATATACCTATAACCTATATATATACTGTTGTGCTGTGTGGTGAGAGAGAGAGAGAAAGAGAGGACAGAGAGAGAGAAGAGAGAAGAGAGAGAGAAAGAGAGAGAGAGAAAGAGGGAAAGAGAGAGAGAAAGAGAAAGAGAGAGAGAAAGAGAAAGAGAAGAAAGAGAGAGTGAGAAGAGAGAGTGAGAGAGC